ACAGCAACCCTCCTGCCTCAGTCTCCCAAGTGCTGGGATTACAGAAGTGCACACCATGCCTGGCTACAAGCCACTGTTATAAAGAAATTCCTAGAAGCCTCTCCTCTCCGGTTCCATCCCCAGCCAGAGCTCAGTCACAGCTGCACAGGGAGGGTGGGGACTGAGGGAGGGGCTTTTCCTGTCTCCCCCTTCACGTTTCTGGAAGAACTGAGTGAGGGTGAGTCATTGAGGAGACGGGGCCACCCGAGTGCTGCTCCTAGCAGCAGAGCCACCTGGAGCTCATGGGGGAAGGAGCTGAGGGCACTGAAAGGGGTGACATGGAGAGAGGGTAAAAGCCACAGTACATTAGTGTGAACCCTGGATTCACTGCTCAGCGAGGGAATGGTGGATGGATGGACGGATGGATGGATGAGTGGATGGATGGATGAGTGGACGGATGGATGAATGGGTGAATCATGAATGGGTGACTACAATGAGAGGGCACACTGAGTACTTCCTTGATGCCAACTTGCACATCTTTTGCTCTGCCACTGCCGTGTGTGACCAGGCAGACACGGGCTACACAAAAGTAAGAAATTACATTTTTTTTTTTTTTTTTGTCTTTTTCCTTTTTTATCAGTACTGGGGATCGAACTCACGACTGCCTGCTTGCAAGGCAGGCGCTTATGACGCTGAGCTAAATCCCCAGCCCAGAGATCACATTTAAACTGAATGCATTTTCCAGAGGGAAATTATCATCCCACCTTTCATTAAAATGACACAACTTTTCCTTCACCTTCTGCACATGACGATGACTCCTCCACCACTCATGAGACACCTGCCTGCGCTGGCTGAGGGACAAGCAGGGCTGGTGGCAGGTGCGGTGCTCACTGTGTGGTGATCGGTGGGGACAGGCAGGGAGGATGAAGGTGAGCTCAGTGGCTCAGGGCTGACCCCCCGGCGGGCACTCTCCAGGAAAGCGGGAAAGTCCCTAGCTCAGAACCAGGCCTCTTCCCACACATGGGCTTCAGCTGAAGCAGAGGGCAAATTCCCACACCGGGGAGGGGACAGGGGCTTCGGCGCCCACGTTGGCCATGCACACGTCCCTGTGGCTGGTGTGCGCCTCAGCATCACCTGCCGGCCTCTGGTGTTTAATGTGCTGCTTCTGCGGACGTGGGATGGCACGCAGAGGGCATCTATCTGCTCTCTCATCCATGTGCTCTGGGCCTTTTTTTGTTTTGAGCCAGGGCCTCACCATGGAGCCCAGGATGGCCAGGAACTCACAGTGATTGTCCTGCTTCAGCCTCCCGAGCGCTTCTACTGCATGTTTCTAAGTCAACTGGCAAGGGCCTGCTTGGGCATTGACCAATTCCTGAGCCCTGGGGCTATAGGCAAAGTTGCAGTGCTACATGCACACGTATGCGCACATGCAAGACACATGTACACTTGCGCATATACACAGGGACACATAGGCACACACGCACACACGTGCACACACATGCACACAAAGACACATGCAGGTTGAGGGCAGCAGGGATTCTGGAACTCTCCAGCACTGTGAATCACCAGTAGAAAGGGGCCCTGCTCCAGAAGCCGGGCGCAGAGTCAGCTCTGGGTCAGCTCCTCCTTTGGTCTCTGTGTATCTGTCCTCACCTTACAACTTCAGCTCTCGGTGAGACCTAGTTTTTGCTTGTAGTTTCAGAAGAAATCTGAGGCAGTGTCATTATTCACACCCAGGCCATCTCTCTGAGTTACCGCTCTGGCCTGCCTCATGAGAACAGGTAAATAGAAGATCCAGTCCATTTTGCAAAGAAGGAAAATAATATTCAGGAAAGCAGGGCTGGGAACACGCGTATAGGAGAGTTCTGAAGTTTGGGAGCTTCGCCCCAACAGCCGGTAAGAGGGGGACACCGGCCATGTAAGGTCGGTGTGTTACCCGCGTGGTCTGCAGATGTGAGCTTGAGTTGCTGCGAGTGCAGAGGCGAGGCAGATCGGAAAGCACCGCCCTCTGTACCAGGGACTCTGCAGTGAGGCTGAGAGCAGCGGGTGACGGCCGCTCCTCACCTGTAAGGAGGTGAGGACAGTACATGTGTGTGGGTCTGACTAAAGGTTCCTCAAACAGCCTGATGTCCGGAGCCGCTTCCGTCCAGCGGAATGGAGCACACGAACACTCAGCCTCTGCAAGCACCTTTATTGACTGGGCAACAACCTCAATACATGTCCGTCCTCGACGGCTTCTTCCGTGTTGTGCGTCGGGCACTTCCTATACTTGGGCTTATATAGCTAATGTTATCCAATCATGGGATTACACGTGGGGACAGGCGATTGGGCGGCAACAAGGAAGCAATCAATCATTACCATATATGGCGGGGACAGTAAGCCGAGCAAGAACCAGGAAGCAGGATGTGTGTGCCATCTTGGGCACACGATGGGCGGGGGAGCAGCGAGGCGGTAGGCGGACGCCATCCTATGAATATGCTCTCATGAATAACATGGCAGGCTCCCAACAGCCTGACACAGAGTTTTCTTGCAGTGAATATCTTGCCAAGGATTTCCATCAGGTGGCCTGTCCCCAAAGCGGATTCCCATCCCCAGGACAGCACAGCAGCTGTTCAATGGGGTCCCCAGCCGCTCCTCCCTCAGTAGCCAAGGAGCAGAGCAGGGAGAGCAGCCTGGCTCTGGCTGGTGGTTCACGGTCCTGCCTGTCTTCCCCCTCTCTGCGCCAGCATTCCTTGGCTATCTCCTGAGTGGGGAGCCCAGCATGACACTGAGGCAGCGGGCAGGCATATGTCAATTCCTCGACAGGTGGGGAGACAGCAGTCGGTGGGCGCAGGGAAGGGAAGCCCTGCGTGGGGCACCTGGAGGAAGCAGGAAGGAGCCGGGGAGGACTGGGTCACTGGGAGGGCACAGGAGCACCAGGAAAAGCCAGGGCCCCCTGGAGGGTCAGGGCAGGCTGTGGGGCCCCGGGGGCCAGTACAGGCCTCTCCCATCTGTCATCCGTGTTTGTCACTTCACAGCTCAGAGAGCCATACAGCTGACAGTGTCACAGAAACAGGGACCGCACTGGGTCCTGAGAGCTATTTCAAGATGAAAAGGAGGCAGTCTTTAGCAAACTTGTAGCCCAGCTGGTGACCAGGGCTAGGCCAGCCAGCTTGGGGTGGCGGTGACGGTTTCTGTGATGGCCCCACTGTGCCTTTTTCCTTCCCTTTGCTCAGATGTAGTTTCTTACCCATGCACCACGTTCCCAAGTGTGCCAGGGGCTGTGGGAGGCACTCTCAAGTCTTTTCCCCAAGCCCAGGGTAGGGCTGTAAAGAAACTGAGAGGAGGAGGAGTCCAGGTTGGTAGACAGGCCAGACAGCAGGGTGGGCAGGGAAGGGGAAGTCGGCCAGGAGGACTTTCAGAGGAGCAGCGGAGAGACTTGGATGGGCTGAGACGGCGACCTCAGACTCCCACAGGGCACATCAGTGACGTTCCCTGCCATTGTCACTCTGCTTTCTGCTCTCTCCATTATTACAGGGACAAATGCATTGTCTCGCCAACTGTCACTACGCGGGTGTAACAGTGAAACACGGACGTTTACAGCCATCCCAACAAACAGCAGCACACCCATCAGGTTAGGAGACAAACATGTGGGTTCTCAATCCTACGATTAATTGGAGAATCACTTTTGCAGCACCTTCCATGGGCTCGCCTGGACGACATGCAGGTAGAGGGCTGGCCCTGTGTTCAGCCCAGGCGTGGTGCAGAGAGGCTCTGTGGGACTGGGGGTCCAGCCTGTACTCAGGACAGAGTGCGAGTAGGCAGGATGCTACCTGAGCAGCAGATGGCGGCAGCAGGGAAACTCAGGCCAGAGAGGATACCATCGAGGCCAGAGGGGCTGGGTGGCTTGGGGAGAAGACAAGTTTTTCATATAATTAAAATGAGGAAATCAGAGGTTTTCCCTGGAGTGAAAGAGCAGAAAGTTCTAGGCCTGCTAGAGGCTTTGATGGGTGGCTGCTGGCCCATCAAATCAGATGAAAGGAACAGCAGATGTGTCTATGGGAGGGCACGTGGCTGCTTTACACATGCAAGTGCACACACACATGTATGCACACACATGTGCATACATGTAAGCATACACATACAAGGGTGCACACGCACATATGCACACACCCACGCACACATGTTCACATGAACGCATACACACACACTGCACACACTCAAGTGTACACACAGCACACGCAAGTGCACACAAGCGCCCAGGTATACACAATGCACACGGAAGCACACACGCAATAAGCACATGTGCACAGTCAAGTGTGCCTGCACGCACACACACGCAAGTTCATACACATGCACAGGCAAGTGCACACGCACATACACGCAAGCGCATGCGCACAGCACCTTCCACCTGCTTCCCAGCCTTCTAACAGGTAAGGGTTTTGCAAGCCCGACAGGACACCAAGAGCCTTCGGGAGTGGACCCTGCCTACGTTGGCGGGGTGGCAAACAGTGAGCGTGGGCAGCACTTTGGTTTGTTTTTATTTCCCGTTTCTGCTTTTGAGGAGATAGCGTGATTCACTGGAAAGGGAGAAAGGACCCTGAGGAGCAGGGGCCTGGGGCCACGACTTGACAGATTCTCGGATTCTCACCCTCTGGGCGCCCTGCGGTTTATTTGGCCTCCCTAAGCCTCCGTCTTTCTGACGCAGAAATCGGTGTTAGGCCTGCACTCGTGGGGGCGGCCGGGACGAAGCAGGGGACGTGAAGCCCAGAGCACAAGCCCCGGTCGCCTTGGACACTGCCGCCCAGGACCTGAAGGACTCTGCTGCCGCAAGCCTGGGCCGGGGCCCGGAGTCCGCGCGGGTGTAGCTGGGAGCCCGGGGACCCCGCCAAGCGGTCGAGGCAAGGGGGCGGGTCTGAGTCTGGCGTCCGGCGCCGCCTGCGTCCCAGGCCGGCACGGGCGGGGCGCCCCATGTCCCCGCCCCCGGTGGCCCCGCCCCGCCGTCCCCGCCCCCTCCCGCTCCATAAATTGCAGCGCGCGGGGCCGGGAAGTGAGCGCGGTGGCGCAACGTGGTGGCTTACCTTCTACTCGTTCTTTTCAGTGGCTTTCTTTCTACAGGGCGACTGGGTCTGTTCCGCCCTGTCCCGGCGGGGACCGGAGAGTCCCCCCAGCTTCGCGCCTTCGGGCACCGGAGACCCCGACTCTGCCTCCTGCGCCGGGACCGGAGATTCCGCACCCCGCCTCCGGCCCTGCCCCGGAGACCCCTGTCTCGGCTTCCTGCGCGGCCCGCGCGGTGCGCGGCTTCGGGGCCCTGGCGCACGATGGCGCGGCCCCGCCTCGGGCTGCTGTGCCTGGCCGCGTGCGCGCTGCTGGGCGCGGGGGCCGAGGCCGATGTCTCCATCCTGGAGCAGGCACGCGTGCTGGCCCGCCAGATGCACAAGCTGGCAGCCGACGAGCTGGGAGTCGTCACCATGCAGGTAGGGACCCAGCGCACCCCGCCCCGGTCCCGCGCACTCCTCCTGGACTCGTGTGCAGCCACTGCAGCCCCGATCCCCCCTTTGTCCAGTCCCACGCGTCCGCCTCCGCCCGTGTCCCGCCTCGCCCGCTTCCCCGGCGCCGGCCGGGTGGTCACTCTTTGTTGCCGGCCGCTGCGTCGTGTGCGCCTTTCGGAGAGAGATGGGGCCCAGGAAGGTGGGTCTGCGGGTCTGGGGGGAGGGGCGTGGGAGGACCTGGAGCCCCGCGCCGCGCGCGGCCGTGGACACAGCGAGCCGCGGGCACTTGGGAAGGCCACTGGTCGTTGGTTCAGTCTCAGAGGCCGAGAAGGCCCGCGCGGCTGGGAAAGGCGGAGGTGACAGTCCTAGTAAAATGTCGCGGGTCTCCCGTGTGCACGCGCTCACCCCACGCGTGGGGAGGAGTGTGGTCTTCGAAAGAGCGAAGTTTCCAGGAACAAGCTCTGCGCCTGGTGTCTGATTTCACCCCGCGGAGAGCAGCTCACCTCCCGCGGAGAACTCAGTGCAGCGCTTGGGACTTGGGTTTCTGACGTCTTTTCTTCCTTTCTTTTCTTTCTTTTTCTTTTTCTTTTCTTCCTGCATTCACCCCAGTTTCCTCCCCCAAAGGGTGCAGTGTTTCCTAAAGCAACTTCCAGGGCCTTCTTCCCTGTACCATAACGATTTTTAAAAAAGCATATTTCATTCATTTTTAAGGGCGGGGGAGGGCAGCAGGGGTTGGCTCTGAGGTGATTTTACTTTACCTGCAGACCCCAGGCCCCGAAGTGTCACAGAGTCGGATCGTCTTCATTTGCATCATAATGGGCGAGCTTTAAGGTCTGTGCCTCCTCCCGCGGTGCAATCCCGGGGTTCCGATGCAGCTCTAATTTTTTCCATATGCGCCTCCTGGTTCTTAGCGGTGACTTTGAAGGCGGTGGAACCATGGTTTTCTTCTCAATTCAGAACACAAACACACCGGCTCTCTGCACAGAGCTCTTGGTCAAAGCGGTCAGTGCATTGCGATTTGGGGCTTCGCTGTGGGATTTGGTGGTGTTTGTCACCCTCCTCCACCTCTGGGGCTGGCCAAGGGACGCTCTGGGGGCCTCCCTTCCCCTGGAAGCCCAGGGCTTTGCTAGTTCCTGGATGCTGCCGGCCTCCGACTGTTTCTCACCCTGTCCTTGACAAAAGGTGAAATCGGATCCCAGCGCATTGTTATTCAGGTAGGGATCCGAAGCAAATGTAGTTTTAAAAGGCTTCTCTGTGGAAAGGAGACACTCAGAAAAGAGCCAGGCAGTGGGGGGGCTGTGCCCAAATGGCCCTTTATCTCCTCCCGTCTGTCCTCTTCTCGCACCTTGGCGACCTCTTTGTGCAGCCCGACCTCCCGCGGCCGGGGCTTTGTCTGGAGAAATGGCTTCTCTCCTGCTCTGAAAGGAGACGGGCAGACTGCATTTAGATTCCTCCCAGCCGTGCAGTGATCCGCCACTTGCCTGGATGGGGGAGCCAGGGCAGGGTCTCTGTAACTGAGACCGCCAGTGCACTTGGCGGGAGGGGCTTACCTGTGAAAAGTAGGATCTGATGCAGGTGGAACTTGTGCTCCCCCACCTTGTGCCCCAGAAGCCCACGGGATGGGGCAGCAGATCTGGAGTGAGTTTGTATTAGTGGCCGGCAGCAGGGCAGGCTGTGCAGCCGGCCTTGGGGAGCTGGGGGCGGTGGGGGGGCTGGCTCTGTGTGGATGTGGGGGTGAGCGGGGTCAGTCTCCCACACAAAGCAGGGGACAGGGAGGCTGCTTCTTCCCTGGATTAAGGGATTGACTCCTTTTTGTTTGACCTTAGCGTGCTTGGGAAGCATAGGCCTTTTGGGCTAGCCTCTCGATTTAGGGGAAACTGTGTAGCCCAGCTTACTGGTGAAAAGTGAGCAAGAGAAAGAAAAAGAAAGGAAGAGAAAGGAAGCAAGCGAGCTCAGAGTTTCCGATTGCTGCTGCTGCTGCTGACCCTCTCCAGACAGGGTTTCCAACTCCCAGCCCCTGCGAGGCCTGTGGTCCTGCGAGGTTGGGGAGCTGCAGACAGCGCACCGGAGGCGGCCAGGGGTGATTCTACAAAAGCAGAGTCCGGGCCTCCTTCCTGCCGGCCTCCCTTGACCCTGTTTTTGTGCTCACTGGTAGAGAAGAGTTGGAAAAGCGGCCGCCTCCTGCAAATAGTTTCAGGAGTTTTCTAGTGAGGCCTCCTGCTCGACTCTCTTGTTGTTATTGTTGTACCTTTTTAATAACAGACATAATTTTTTAAGACTTTAAATGGCTTGGCCAGCCCATTCCTCCAGGGCCCAGGGAGAGCTTGTCGCCTTTGTCTTTTCCTTTGTCCTTCCCTCCGACATTCATGCCACAGGTCCATGGCCAGCCAGGCATGAAGAGCCCTGGAGCCCCTGTCGAGTGTTGCCACCTGCAAGCTGGGCAATTTCCTCTGTAAGCCTGGGGATCTGAGTCCCCAGAACCTGAGGGACGGCCTGCTGGGAAGGCACCTGTTCCAAGCCACGCCCTGTGTCGCTGTCACCGCTCCTGGTGGGAGGGAGATTGGTCCTGGAAGGGTGGGCAGTGCTACGCTTAGGGCACAGGCAGCCTGCTGGGAGGTGGTCAGTTTGTGATTCCTGCAGGGCCCACTTGTCCAAAGGTCTGTTGATTAGGGCGGGTTCTCCAGCACTTATAAGGCCCGTGTAACACACAGGACAATGCTGGCCTCTCACAGCAAAGGGCTGGCACCAGGCCAGGTGCCTGCCCCGAGGTGTACCCTCCTCTGGCTAAGCATGGTGCTGTGGGCTCCATGGATGAAGCAGCAAGCAGCAGGTTGGTGAAACAGCTGCTGGCCAGGCGGGGAGAGAGGGCCAGGAGGAGCGTCCTCCTTCTAGTTCAGCCAGGAGAAATCCCGGGGGCACAGACTGGAGCTTCTGGTCCAGCAGAAAACAGCGGCTGCCAGGGCAGAGCTGCTCCAGGGCTCAGGCAGCCGCTGCAGAGAGAGCCAGGCTCTGAGTCTGGACCACGCTGAAATGAAGTGATGGCCTCGGCCACATGCGGGGACGCCATGACTTGTGCCCACAATCGTCTATGCACGGATCGGATGGCAGGGGCCTCGGGTTAGACCATGGTGTCTGGCAGAGGTGACCAAGGCCTGCCCATGCCCTAGTCTCATAATTAGTGGTGGGGATGGTGACAGGAGGCACGGGACACTGGACAGCAGGGGCACAGTGTGGGAGACAGGAGTGGGCACATGGAGACCACAGGGCCCTGCCCAGGCCATGCTGTGAATTAGAGAATCCCCCCTTTTGCCCTCCGCCTGGCCAGTGAATGGGGGACGCAGTGACCCGGCCTCAGCCGGGACAGGAACCAAGTTGGTGCCCCTTATCAGATCTTCCTGGTTCCTTTGGGCTGGCACAGGGTAGTGTGGCTGAGGGACCTCATCCCCTCCACCTAGGCAGCTCTAGCAGTGCCCTTAACTTGATTGTCAGGCTCTGGCACCCTGATGGTGTGGCAGGCTTGCTCAGGGGAGGTCTGTGCTTCTCCATAGGCAAGCACACTGTTCCAGGGAGGAGTGGGTGCGGGAGGCTGGGGCGGGCACGTGTGCATTGTGCGTTGTAGAGGATCTGAGCGGGTAAAACACCTGGGTTTACATACAGTGTGGTGCCCGATTGCGGTCGCAGTTCCATGGGAGAACTGCTGTGTCGTCCGCTTCCAAAACTGAGCATTTGGGGCAGGACAAAGTTGACCTTTGATGGCTCTGGGTTGAGCCAGAAGACCCGTGTGCAGTGATGTGGAGGTGTGTCCTGGGGCTTGGATTGCCTTGAGTCCCCCTCGATACCCTGCGTTTGCTGGCTGGGTTCTTTGGGGTCAGCACATTTTCCTGCTGGTCCTGCTCAGTCTTGGTGGGGCTCGGGGAGAGGGACTAGGGGATCGATCATTTGTAACCTGCCCCTGTTCCTCCTGGTCACTGTGTGGGGAATCGGTTCCTGGCACTTGAGTGGGTGATGGAGTTGCAGCCATTCGGAGCCCTGCTATTTTTGCCTGAAGTGAACTGAGCTGTATTTTGATTGTGTTGCACCAGTGTAAGAACTGAAATTCAACCAGTTCAGGGCGTTCACACCTGGTATGGATCTTCAGGGAGCTGTAGCTTAGAAGGACAACCTAAGAGTGGACAGCGGACAGAAATAAAAACTCGGGACCAGTGGGTTTAGGGTTGGGCCCTGAACCCAGCAGGAGAAGCATATCCCTAATCTTTTTTTTCTCCCCTTTATCTTAGTGCTGGGGATTGGGTTGAAACCAAGCCCTCATTCGGAGCTACGTCCCCAGGGCCTCCCAAAGTTGCTAAGTTGCCCACACTAGGTTTGAATTTGCAGTCCTCCTGCCTCAGCCTTTCAGAGTGCTGGGGTTACAGTTATGCACCAGCATGTAAAGGTGGTCCTCTGTCCCCTGTTGCATGGGTTCTGGAGTCTCATGTGCAAATCATGTTTTGGAAGAAAAATATTGGAACCGTTACTTATAGCTATTTAGTTTTACAGTTCTCATTTTATACAAAGGCTTTCAGAACTACTCAAAAGTGACCTTAGTGTGTCACCTGACCCATCAGCTACTGGTTTGTCCCAGGGCTGCTTCATCTCCCCCTCCATCCCCTACCCATGCCCTGCATTCCTGCAGAGATCCCAGCCCCACAGTACTCCCTATGATGTTTACAATTGCATCCTTGTTTAATTTCCATCGTTGTTTATCGTTTTTAATATAAAGAGTATTTTGGCTCGGTGGCCTCGAATTTCCAGTTAGTGAGTATGAATATTTTGGAGGGGAGCCCTGCAGCAGCAACCTGTGTCTTTTATGCCTGTGGGCACCCTGGGGACTGAGCCATCCTGGGGCATGGTGGCTGTGTGCTCCACCACTGCATTGGGTCCTAGCTGTGGAGGAGCGGGGACCGAGGCTCAGCGCACCCCAAGGCTTCCAATGGCATTCCAGCAAC